CAATTTCTTGACGTTGGGAAAGCTGAGGACGACGGGCTGAGTAGCGACCATGTCAAGGTGCACGGCTCTATGGCCTAGGTCTGCCTTGTTGCGTGTCTAGGGTAGTTCCTTGACCTGCAGGTAGCCAGACCGTCGCTCTACCGTCCAGTCCAAGCCAAGACCCAATCCATGAGCATGGGAAGATTATACGTCATTTACACAAGTCACCAGCAGAAGTTATTATTATTCAGGCTTGGAATGGCAGAGGATTCAACGGGTAGTTTTTGGATGAGCCCAATAAAAATGGTCATCTCACTCAGTCAAGTGATTGAGAGCGCTATCTGCCCACTATATTTCTCCGTGATGTCGTTCCGGTTTAGTCGACTTGAATGAGGGATTGCCATTGGCTTGGGTACCTCTGCTCGTTTGCTATTGGTTTAGGCATGAGTAAGACCGCTAACGAAAAAAACAATGCTAGTCGAAGCTGCGTTGTACTAAGAGGTTCATTCTGAATGCAGAGTTCACTGTGTATGGATGCGTACTCTCTACTGATTATGGCTAATCAGTTGTGATCGCTTCAGGAACTCTTGTTAAGTCTCTCTACACATTGCAATCAAGTTTACTCCCGTTCTCCCTCAGAATTCTGTTACAGGCAATTTTCTTGACTCGAAGTTGTTTGTGAAATACAGATGTAGGGAAAAATGTTATTAGATGTACCACGTGATCGCTCCAGACGTAACGGACCGAGTGTCAAGAGCTTGATCAGTTGACATCGGAATATTCATCAAAGAGTGAAGGGTTTAAGGTCGTCTAAGTGACGTCATGGCTTGTATAGATCATTGCTGCTCATCTCATGGGAAGATTGTGTTAATCTAGACTTGCTGCCCAACATAGTGTTTGTGAGTAAACCGACCCTTGAGCGGCGTGTCTATGAGCCCATGTGAGCACTGTGTCAAATGAGCACCGCATCGTTCAGCTTCATGCTCCAAGCCGCCTCTTATGATCGTCCCCCACCATGATCCTCGTAGCTACCACCCTGCTCCTCTTACTTGTATCCTTGCACGTGGTGTCACATGTCGTTTAAGCGCCTGAGGTGAAAGCGAACGAGGCGGCCACCACCCCACACATTCCTAGAGTCCGACACGTCTCACGGTATCGTCACCGAATTCCGGAAGGTCATCGCCCTAGACTGAGTGAATGAGATGAGGAATGAGTGAAGGCCGGTCATCATTGTAAGTACACCATCTCTCTTTTCTCGTCAGCGTTGCCGTGTGTTAAGCTCAGTGATCGCCCGACCGACTAAGTAATATTTCCTGGTCCGCCCGGAGCAAATGTAGTAGTCAGACTGAGGTGACCTACATGTGATGAACCGTCAGCCTGCAGGGTGATGTTCAGGAGTAAGAGGATTACCCTAATCTCACTCACACACACACAATTAGCGTCTCAGTGACCTGTGTTATTTCACTGGAATTAAGTCTCAGTGACTTCATTAATTTCAGCGAATATTGAGTGTCAGTGACTCGTTTTTCTGTGAATTAATATTGTGTTAGTGACTTTGAACTATTTCATTGTTATTATGTCTTAGTGAAGTGCATTTTACTTCAGTGATTATTCTTGTCCTTGAGACTTGTGTTATTGTTTATGTGTATTTCATGTTTGTGATTACTATGTAAGTGTATAGTTAGAACTCCGATTAATGTCCCTTACCTGCTTGATGGGGTTCTGGGAGTTGTTCTACTTCCCAAGCCCGGCCCGACGTCAGGCTTGACTTGAGAGAGCTTGTCCACCAGGCTGTTGCTTGCAGCGGCCCGCAGACCCAACTACCCACCACTGACTGGTTGGTCCGGCACTCTTTGAAGAAAACTATCTAGTTTCCTCTTGAAGATGTCCACGGTTGTTCCGGCAATATTTCTTATACTCGCTGGGAGGACGTTGAACAACCGCGGACCTCTGATGTTTATACAGTGTTCTCTGATTGTGCCTATGGCACCTCTGCTCTTCACTGGTTCTATTCTGCATCTTCTTCCATATTGTTCACTCCAGTAGATTGTGAACTTAGTAGTTACTGCACGCTTGTTACTGCAAGTGTCATGTGCAGTTGATATCAAAGTCTTCACAGTTCACTTGGTGCCCAAGCACGAGCGCGGAGGCTCAGCATACTAGCACCGTGGGCATGATTCCTGCTGTGAGTCAGTGCTTTTGCATGGCCTTTGCAACTGACGCTCTTGATTAACGTAACTTAAAGCCACCCTCTTATATTACTGGGGAATTTCCTATCTCTTTGATCAAGAGTATAATCATCCCAATTACCAAGCCTAATCAAGAGAATGTTTTCCGCCCAATTTCCCTTACCAGTTGCCTCTGCAAAACTTTGGGGAGACTGGTCCTAAACCGTCTCCTCAATAGAGCAAGAACAATGCTAGTCCCCACATAACTGGCTAAATGCATATAAGGAGTGTGCATCATTGCATTGTCATCTTTCTTACCCTGCACACAGAAAAGTCATATACAACTCTCCTAGATCTTAAGTCTGCTTATGTTATTGAAAACCAACATGTCATTTTGAGTGAGCTTGAGAAAATGAATATTAATTGGTGGTCGGCTTCTTTGTTGATTCAGAGGTTACTTATCTAGCAAGAAGTCATCTGCATTGTTCCAGAGGCAAAGGAGCGTAACAGGAGACTTTGAACTAGGCACCCCACAGCTACAAGGTGTCTTCAGCCCTACCTTATTTAATATTTTTATAAATGTGCTATTAAACTCTGTGCAGCACTGCTCCTGTGCCAGGTAAGTCCACTACGGGATCACCATAACCCGTGCTACTTGCAACTTTAAAAATTCAGCTACTCTGAACAAAAACATACAGAACGAAGCCTTGAGGATTATCCTTGGGTGCCCTCGTACCACAGCGATACTTAATATGAAAAAGTCACTTAATATTCCGAGCGTCATTGATCGTGTTACTGAAATTAACTGGTGTAAAAAATGCTTAGACTCATCCTAACCCTTGCACAGAAGCCTTCCGGATTTTTTTTATTAAGGTATTGCAACACTTCAAACACTCAAAATGGATTACTAAAATTGGAACTGAACACAAAATGCATCAGATTTACAATTTGTACCAAGAGAGAACAACGGCACTTTCCTGCCCCTTGGGAAATTACTCACTTTCCAATTTTAATCCCTTCATTTCCACCCACGAAGCAAATTAAAGATCAACCCATGAATAGTCTTGAGGCAAAGCTCCACGCCTTAAGTTTGAGAGAGCGCTTTCACTCTCTCACTCTCATTCTCTCTCCCACCATATACACTGATGGTTCCCTACACCGCCCCACGGGTGCAGTTGTCCTGACAATGGGTGATGGCTTATATTTTGAGTGGAGAGTCCGTATAAACAACTGGGGCTCTACTCTTTAAACCGAACTATTTGCCTCACTTCCTGCACTCAAATGTGTAGAAGTCTCCAAACTTGAAACATTAACCGTGAGCGAATCTATCATTCTTAATTGCGCTCAACTCTAAGATATACTTGAAACATGTTCGTGTCCAATGCTACACACTAATACAGCAATATTAATGATGGTAAGAGTCCACGTCGCGTGAATTCCATCTCGTTTTGGCCTCCGAATGCATGATAAAGCTAGCTAAATAATCTGCCTTCAAAGGAGTTGATTATAACCTTTTACTGCCTGTAAGCAGCGTGAGAACAATAATACACAAAAAACTTAAACAAAACCTTTTAGATCCGAGACAAAATGAAATCCACACTAGTTATTCCATCTATCACACTATTAAGCAAGAAGAGCCACACATCTATGTATCATCCAATAAAATCAGCAGACTCCTGGATGTTACTACTACTCGGCTTAGACTCTGTTATAAGTATCTCTGGTAATTTGCATTTCCTGCTAATGTAGACCTGACCAAATGTAAACTGTCAGCCATTTCCACACCCTCCGACACCGTGATGGAGTGCGAGAATATATGTAAATTTTGAGACGGCTCTATAACAAGTGTTCAAGAAATGTGTAAATATTTCATTCAAAATGGCCGACTACCAGGAATTTTAACCAAATATCTCCAGTTTGTTAACTATAGGTTGTAAGTGTGGGGCGACTAACCTTTCCACCGGTGCCCCCTAGATGGGGGGCGGTGTGCAGGATAAACCACATCAGGTTTGACACTAGCTCACCACATACGCATAGCGTTTCGGGCAACCTTGCCTTGCCTTTCTTGGCAACCTTGGGCCAGATTCACGAAAGCACTTTCGCAAGCACTTACGAACCTGTACATCTTTTCTCAATCTTTGGCGGCTTTGTTTACAATTATTAAACAGTTAATGAGCTCCGAAGCACCATGAGGCTGTTTATAACAATAACAACAGTTGAATGGTTAGTTTTTATGCTTGTAAACTGTTTAATAAATGTAACCAAAGCCGTCAGAGATTGAGGAAAGATGTACACGTTCGTAAGTGCTTGCGTAACTGCTTCGTGAATCTAGCTCCTTGCCTTTCGGGCAAACCAATGGCTCCAAGCTACGACCCAGCGACGGGAGGAGGCGGTGCGCTCGTTAGATTACTGTCTTAAATACAACACACCATCTGAGATATACCGTTCCTCGACGGTTGTTCTCGCATGCTTGTTTGTCACTGTACTGTCAACTGTTAGCCTGTACAGTGACCACGATTGGGATTGATGCCGTTGCAGTTGTTTCAGGAATTAAATATATATTTATATATACACACTGGCAGCCTGTCCCCCCTGGCACAATGCATTACTTTTTTAAACGGTCGAATTGATTTTTTCTTTGCTATTGAGTGTATTTCAACTTGTCTTAAAAATCCTTTCCATTCATTTAAGCTTTGGTAAATTGTCCCAAATGAGACTAGGATTTCAAACGAAAAATAAATTTGGTTTCATGGACTGTCAAAAATGTATTTAAATTTTTTTGACGAAAACTTGTTGGTGCAAGCAAATTACACAATTAAAATTTGGTTTAATTTAGCGTTTAATCCTTTTGTCATGCATATGCCAACATATACCTCCCACCAAGTGCTCGCCAACATATACCTCCCACCAAGTGCTCGCCAACATATACCTCTCACCAAGAGCTCGCCAACATATACCTCTCACCAAGAGCTCGCCAACATATACCTCTCACCAAGAGCTCGCCAACATATACCTCTCACCAAGAGCTCGCCAACATATACCTCTCACCAAGAGCTCGCCAACATATACCTCTCACCAAGTGCTCGCCAACATATACCTCCCACCAAGAGCTCGCCAACATATACCTCCCACCAAGAGCTCGCCAACATATACCTCTCACCAAGAGCTCGCCAACATATACCTCTCACCAAGAGCTCGCCAACATATACCTCCCACCAAGTGCTCGCCAACACATACCTCCCACCAAGTGCTCGCCAACACATACCTCCCACCAAGAGCTCGCCAACACATACCTCCCACCAAGTGCTCGCCAACATATACCTCCCACCAAGTGCTCGCCAACATATACCTCCCACCAAGTGCTCGCCAACACATACCTCCCACCAAGAGCTCGCCAACACATACCTCCCACCAAGTGCTCGCCAACATATACCTCCCACCAAGTGCTCGCCAACATATACGTCTCACCAAGTGCTCGCCAACATATACCTCCCACCAAGTGCTCGCCAACATATACCTCCCACCAAGTGCTCGCCAACATATACCTCACACATACTTTCGCCAAAGTGACGTGGAAGGCTGAGCCAAGCACTGCACCCAAGCCGGTCCATTCAGGTCATTCTGTCATGCACTTGATAAGCAAATGGAGCCCCTATTGTCCCGGCAATATTATGATGCTCGCTGAAGGGCAACACTCGCCTGCCTCCCTCTTATCTTAGGGAAGTACCGGAGCCCGGGGGAAGAAAGTGACATGCAAAGAAGGAAAGTGACATGTAAGAGAGGAAAGTGACGTGCGAGGAAGGAGAACTAAATGCGTAGGAGGAAAGTGACAAACGAAGAAAGAAAGTGACACACAGTTAAGGAGAGTTACAAATGGCGGGAAGTGTCATATTGTAGTGACACTAGGAGAGGAAAATGATGATGGGGAAGACTGTGATTGGAGAGGGAAGTGACGCTGGGGAAGAAAGTGATCTTTTGGGATGAAAATGACATAGAGTGTGAGAGAATTGAGAGTTTTTGTTCTGGAAGTAAATTGATCGACCCCGGTGGGTGGGGAGTGACGGGCCCCGGTGGGTGGGGGGGAGTGACGGACCCCGGTGGGGTGGGGGGGGGAGTGACGGGCCTCCGGTGGGTGGCGGGGAGTGACGGTCCCCGGTGGGGAGGGGGGGGAATGACGGTCCCGGTGGGGGGGGGGGGGGGGGGGGGGAGTGACGGTCCCCGGTGGGGTGGGGGGGGAGTGACGGTCCCCGGTGGGGTGGGGAGTGACGGTCCCCGGTAGGGTGGGGGGGGGAGTGACGGTCCCCGGTGGGGTGGGGGGGAGTGACGGTCCCCGGTGGGGTGGGGGGGGATTGACGGTCCCCGGTGGGGTGGGGGGGGAGTGACGGTCCCCGGTGGGGTGGGGGGGGAGTGACGGTCCCCGGTGGGGTGAGGGGGGGAGTGACGGTCCCCGGTGGGGTGGGGGGGGGAGTGACGGTCCCCGGTGGGGTGGGGGGGGAGTGACGGTCCCCGGTGGGGTGGGGGGGGGAGTGACGGTCCCCGGTGGGGTGGGGGGAGAGTGACGGTCCCCGGTGGGGTGGGGGGAGAGTGACGGTCCCCGGTGGGGTGGGGGGAGAGTGACGGTCCCCGGTGGGTTGGGGGGGGGGAGTGACGGTCCCCGGTGGGGTGGGAGTGACGGTCCCCGGTGGGGTGGGGGGGGGGGAGGAGTGACGGTCCCCGGTGGGGTGGGGGTGGGGGGAGTGACGGTCCCCGGTGGGGTGGGGGGGGGGGAGTGACGGTCTCCGGTGGGGTGGGGGGAGAGTGACGGTCCCCGGTGGGGTGGGGGGAGAGTGACGGTCCCCGGTGGGGTGGGGGGGGAGTGACGGTCCCCGGTGGGGTTGGGGGGGGAGTGACGGTCCCCGGTGGGGTGGGGGGGGAGTGACGGTCCCCGGTGGGGTGGGGGGGGGGGGAGTGACGGTCCCCGGTGGGGTGGGGGGGAGTGACGGACCCTGGTACAAACCTGTACTCTGATCCACCACACAAGGCTGTTCTGTTTCCTTGCTCACCCTTTTCCAGGCAATGTTGTTCCTGTGGTCCGTAATCTCCTGTGACCGTCCTCATTACCTTACACTCTCAGGGGTTAAATATGAGCAGCCACCAAGTAAACGTTTCCTGCAGGTTGTTCAAGTCACGAAGCATTCTCAGGTCATCCTATTCTAACTCTTCCCAGAGCTTCGTATCACCTCCAAAACATCAACACGAAGGAATATATTTCTAAATTTAGGTAATTGATCTAAGGAGGGACGAACATGGTTACGAGAACCAGGCCTTGTGGGACACTACACATTGTGCCTTCTTTGCGACTTCTTTGTTTCTTTAGTATGTATTGTAGCACGCAATTTTGTAATCGTATTGACGAATTTTGTTAGATTCGTTCCCTAAACTCATGTTGGTAATTTGTTACAAACTGTACTCATTTCAGTAATACATGTATACCCATCAGGGACATGGTATACATCTCCGTGACAGTGGTCTGTTCCCTCTTTCTTATAGACTGTATACTATTGGGCATCTTTCAACTGTCCTGAAGAGAATTTCTGCAGTACCAAAAATATATATTATACTTCACTACCTTTGATGCTTTCAGATTCTCAGCTTTGTGTGTGTATTTATTAAATTGTATTTACTATTTGTGCCTGCAGGAACGAGCTGTTAGCTCTTGGACTCCGCCTTTCTAACCGTTGAATTTTTAATGTACTGACTTGCGACCTATTTTTTTCCCCCTCTATCGTGTCTACGCCATATTTTTCTCTCAAACACATCCCCCAGGATGCAGCCCGTAGCAGCTGTCTGATTCCCAGGTGCCTATTTGCTGTTAGCTGAACAGGATACATCAGGTGATGGTAACTCTACCCATTTGTTTGTGTTTTGACCGGGAATCGAACTCGGGCGCCTTAAGATTACGGCCCCAGAGCGTTGTCCGCTCAGCTACGAGGACGTGTGTGTGTGTGTAGCTGTAACTTATCTGGCTCAATTCTTCCTCACCATCCGATTCCTTGCCACGTGTGCCTTTAAAATTATGGACAACCTTTATTGTATTTATTACCTGTTCTAAAGCTAAATAGAGAGTTGCTTAGCTCTCTAAGACTCTTGCTTGTCCTGAGAGTCCTCACCTCTCTTCTCCTTCCCCTTGTACATCGAACTCTTTTTCTTGTTTTCATTATAATTATCTCTTAATGTGTTATTTGTCCTTTTGTTTTTATCTCCGGTCACGTCATGTTTAGTTCTCTCAGATGAGCTGTATCTTATTTCTGCTTCCATTGTCTTTGCAAGACTGAATATTTTATTTTTATTTTTAATTTATTTATATATACAAGAAGGTACATTGTGTGTATGAGAGTACATAGCTTTGCTGTTTTTTACATTCTTGTAAAGCCACTAACACACGTAGCGTTTCGGACAGAGTCTAATATTCTATATTAGATTATTCTAAATATTTTTTATTTATAATATTCTAAATTTTACAGAAAACACAAAATGTTCTATATATTTTGTGTTTCAGGTGTTGCCTTTTAGCTGGCCTTACGTGAGTTGTACTTTCACGTTCTGTGTAGTGTTAAGGCAGTTTTGTACATGCAGTTGACCTGATGCTATTTATGTGCGCCACTGGTGGCAAACATATCATATTATCTCCCTTCTGGCTTTAACGTGTCACCTGGTATCTGCCTAGTACGTTTCTACTCGTCTCTTCATTTATCTGGAGAGAATTCTACAAGTCATTTGCGTGATCGCTCTAGTAACTTGTATTGGTCACACGAGAGAGACTCCTGAGATAAAGCGTGTTTTCCAGTGTGAATGTGACGCCTTCTACCCCCTACAGTGAATGATTTCTTGTGCTGTGTGTTACGTGTTCTCTCACAAACGTCAATACTTTCCTGGTTCGTAACTCTACACAGTCTATGTAGCTGGTATATTAGCCATCTACACGGAACAGCATCAAAGGTTTTTAGGCATTCTACAAAAAGATGTAGTTTCTCATTCTCCTCTGCCTTGGGCAGGTTTCCTGCATTTGGCCTCTTGTTGCCTGGGGTGAGGGGAGGGGGGGGGGGATAGCGCCCAAGCTATAGGACAGTGGAAAGCCCTTCGATCCACCCCAAGTGTAGTGATAACCGTATGAAGCGATATCTCCTCTGCCTTGTCTTATTGTCATCAATAAAGCACTGAACTCCTGTACACTCGTTAGACGTTCCACTAGCAATATTCAGATTAGTTTTTTTAACATTTTGCAGGTTTATTGATAACACCGGTCTGGAATGTTGTGCCTCCCGTGTACTCGCCTATTTGTGCTTGCGGGGGTTGAGCTCTGGCTCTTTGGTCCCGCCTCTCAACTGTCAATCAACTAGTGTACAGGTTCCTGAGCCTATTGGGCACTATCATGTCTACACTTGAAACTTTGTATGAAGTCAGCCTCCACCACATCACTGCCTAATGCAATCCATTTGTCAACCAATCTGACACTAAAAAAAAAGCTCTTAACTCTTAAAAGCTCTGTGTGCTCTTTGTAGTGTGTACCACATCACCTGAGCTCTGTCTCTGCTGTTGGCCAACTTGCCTCTCGGAAGTTATGCATCATAGGTTCAATGCTGGACGTATTCTATTAACCCATGCCTCTAATTTTTTAGCATCTGAGGCCTTATTTTCATCAAGATCTTCTAGAGGTTTCACCAAGGCTTCTGCTGTTCCCATATTATATGTTTGTCTCTCAATTTGAGGTTATTTCTTCACTTAACGCTATGAACGGGTTAGGCTCTGTCGCGGAATTTTTTCCCCAAGGAAACATTTCTGTTCCTAGTAGATTTGAATTTTTTTAATGTTTGCCCTTTTAGTTTTATCTTTTCTCTTGGTCAATCTGATATTTTTCTCCTTTTATAGTTATTGTTTTTTTACTTTAAATACACCTTTATTTCCATTATTTCTTTGTTTCTCTTTTTTATTGTAATATAAATATTCCTTATCTTGTTGAATGTTTATATTTTCCCTTCTGCCTTCTACATTTTCCCCACTCCTACTTTACATTATCTATTAAGCAATAGGTGATATTTTCCTCTCTCTCTCTCATAATATATATATATATATATATATATATATATATATATATATATATATATATATATATATATATATATATATATATATAATCACTAAGAACTCTTTGACCCGGCCAGGATTCGAACCCATGCCGTCCAGGATCACCCTTAAACGTACACAGTACCGTGACCACCGCACCAATGATCGTCTATAAGGATTGGTCAGTCCTGGTGTTTATGCATGCGCCAAAATTTGATGAAAAGCTGTACCCAAATGGATCCATGAGTGTCGTCGGGGGTTGATAAATCAGGGAGCTTAGTTAATAAGCACCAGGACTGACCAATCCTTATAGACGATCATTGGTGCGGTGGTCACGGTGCTGTGTACGTTTAAGGGTGATCCTGGACGGCATGGGTTCGAATCCTGGCCGGGTCAAAGAGTTCTTAGTGATCTATGGCTTGCGCGTTCATGCAGCTTTCTCACACATGTCAAACTCAGTGCTCAAT